ATCATATTATTTTTCAAAGCATAAAGTTTTTAATTTGAAAACATATGTATTTATTGAATAAAAGTTAATGTCGAAAAAGATAAAGAGCTGCTATAGTCTCGTTATGAAACCATTTCATCAGGGTTTGTAACCGTTAGATCATCATGTAATTGTCAGAGATAGTTGATCTAACAGTTACAAATCATGACGAAATAATTCCGTAACAAAACCGTAGCATCTCCAAAAAAATATACACACAATAATTATACTCTCTACATTAATATTTATACTAGGAATACTCAAGTGTACGATGCACAACCGATTCTCGGTAGAAAGTGTTTTAAATTGAGACAGAGATCAACCTTCTCGATGGTTGGGAATAAAATTTAATTTGCATGAAGGCATTTATGTATACTAAACACTTCTCTGAGATATTATTTCGGATGATATTTGCTTACTACATCTAAATTCTAACTAATATTCTTTTTTAGACGATAGAATTTAATAATAAAAACACACTAGTATCATATGCGTGCAGGGGCGGATCTAGGATTTGTAAGTTACTCGGGCTAAAATTATAGCAAAAAATTATGATAACAATATTATTTTTTAAGTGCTTTTACAACAACTATTTTTTGAAAATATATTCATATAACTAATATTTTTGTAGTTTAAATTTAGAACTGGACATAAAAAGAAAAAGTCAATAACACTTCATTATGACAAGAAGAAATAAAAATTAAAAAGAACTTCTTGAACAATTATTTTTTAAATTTCTCAAATTTAACTTGTAGTCTAAATTAAATGTTCTAAAAAAGAATATTTATCATAAAGAACAGTAACTATTTGATTTTGTCATAAAACCCCTCAAAATTAATATACATGAGATGGTTATTTAAATTTAAAATTCTTTGTGATTTTATTGATTTTATTATGCTATATATATATATATTAATTAGTTAAACTAACATTATAAATATATTGTCCAATATCAATTTTAGTTATATATATACAAATAAAAATTTTTCTCTTTTGCTTCAATCTCTTTCTTTTGTTTTGAGCACTTTTTGTGTTTCTCTTACCATTGGTTCTTTTGGGTTTCATCTCTAGCCTACCCCAACTTGCTTGGGACAAAAGACTATGTTGTTGTTGTTGTTGTATATACAAATAAAATTGTATAATTTTTAAGTGTATATATATATATATATATATTATATATACATGCTCCCAAAAAGTCTACCCGGGCTAAAGCCTAGGAAGAAATGAACATGGCTCCGCCCATGTATGCGTGTACTACACAGTTGTTGAGTTAAGAGATATATGATAATAGTTATTGCTAAAATAAATTTTTTATTTAAAAATTTTGATGGACTAATTAATGAAAAAAAAAAGAGGAATAGACAATGCAGAAAATAACTTGTAAATTGTAATTTATGAGAGAATATGAGAGAAAATTATAATATGGTAATATTGTTATTTTCCCCAAACTAAGAAGGAAATGTGTACTAAGAGAAAAAAAATTACAACTACACTTACCAAATTTGAAAAAAAAGTTATTTATGTCAAATACCAAACTTAACTCCGGAGCAAAAATGAATATATAAACAACATATAAAGCATAGTTTTTCGTCATTTCAGGATCCGAAGAGTGAGAATCTGTCAATTAGGCTCAACATGGTTTAAATTAATATATGTGAAGAGATAATTACAGACTAGACAACAACTAACAAGTTGAACCTGAATCTAGTTAAGAGGTTTACACCAAAAGTAGCCTAGAATAAACCTAGAAACAAAACAACCACAAAACACTGAACACTAAAAAAAATCACGCATGGGGCGAATAAAGGTTCCCAAACAGAAGAATAAGGAAACAAACCGTACCAAAAAAATAGGAAAAAGCTAAAACACACGAACAAACACAAAACAACCTAATACTTATATAGACTAAAGTTCTCCCCACCGAACGAAAAATACCTTAACCCGCCACAGTTAGTGTGTATGCAGAAAGCCCAGCTTTTTGTCGATACTGATCATGTTTGAATGAGAATCATATTTAATTAAACATCGTTATGATGTCTTACATTCGAATATTGTGGTTCATCACGGATGGACAGAAAATCACATATTGGTTACTTGTAAAACATAAGTAATCAGGTTCACAACCTACATGGAAATGAACGCCATCGTGAACGGTAGTAATGTCAACTGTACAGTCTATCTTAATTGATTGGTTGCACTAGTACGCTGTGTGTATTAAACGAATCCCAAAGAGAATATTTTATTTTATGTTGATCAAGTAAACAAACTAGATATCAATTAATTACTGCGTACTCTAAAACCATTAGATATAAATAGACATGTGAATACAAAAGCTGCTACTTTGATTCACACAAAAAGTGAGATCCATTCAGCTAGGTCGAAAGCCTGACGTGTTTTGGGTTGTAGTGCTACGTGTATGGTGCGTTGTTCGAATATTTACGGTCACCATGTGACCGACAGTCTGATGATGTCCAGGTGGGATCAAGAAGAATTATTATGTTAAACCAGACTGGTAGAATTTATTCCGAAATAATAATAAAGTTTTGAGAGGTACTAGTCTCAGTTCAAGAAGTCAATTAATTATATTGTCAATAATTAAATTAATTGATTATCATTATATCTTAAATAAGGAGAGATAAATCGGGTAATTATTAATTATTATTGGAGCCTCAAATGTAATTTGAACACTAAATGAGGAGTGCAATAATGTTTTTTTAGTAGACTAAAATATTAGTCAAGTTTGAGCATAGTGGGCTTGACCCATAGTTATGCCAAAACTTGGAACACCCCAAATTTAGCACCACTTCAGGGTCCCTATTGTTGCCTGTAAATACACCACATCTCTTGGGATTCAGATTGATGAGTTCTACACGATCACACTCATATAATCGTTCTCTCTCTATTAAGAAATTTCAATCGAGATATCTCCAAAAATGTCGCCCACTAAGACGAACGGAGAAGGTGTCGGATCATACAACCAAAGATCTGAGATAAACTGAGGCAAAAATCACAATATATTTATCCCGGGAAATAGCACAGAGTCGCTGACGATCAACCCCGACCACCGCTGATAAGTCCCGATCCTCCGGCAGCAACCAACTACTACGATGGCACCACCGCGCATCCAGCCACGTCCCACCGCGTCCATCCACGCATGCGCGCACCATGTACAACCCGCGCAAACTCGTCGCAGTGTGTCTCCAGCGCGAGCAAATGCGTTCCAGCGTGTCTCTAGATATCATATATAAAAAACAGATGATAAATACAAAAACGATTAACTTAAAAAAAATCTATTTATAATCTAAATTAGGGAAATACCTATAATTTTAGAAGCTCTCATAAGCATGGACTAGCCAGAGCACAATTAACAAATAAGATTATATCATAAAGTTACAAGTAGCTAAAGTTGACATATAAATTTCAAAAACTCTGCATTTATAAAGATGGGGAAATATGTTATTTTTTAGATTAAAAATTTATGAATAAATTATTGGTGGCTCAATAATTTTTAATGAAAATTAATATTTCAACGAAATACTAGAAATTAAATTTGATGCATTGTAAAATAAGGTGTAACTTGGATGATTGTTAATTTAAAAACTAATAATCATGTCATGTATAAAATATCAATATTGTCACGTATGACAAGGTTGTGTCCCAATCATTATATTCAAACATCATAATTATTTTTAATTAAACAAATGAACGTGCATTGCACTAGAGATAATTAAATCAAATCAAGGTCCACGCTAATGAAAGAAGCCCATCACAACGTGGACAGCGATACTAAATGGACCGCACCAATGGATTGTAAGAGCCCTTCTTAGGGTATATAATTCTTGGGCCTAAACCACAAATTTGAAAATGACTCATCAAGTAATCGTGACTCTCAAGTCATTTTCATGATTATTGCGGCCATCTAACCGTTCCATAGCCCAAAAACTAAATATCTTCAATGACGGGCTCAGACCATTTTACAGGCCCAATAAATCCAACCAGTCCAGAAACAGTATTCTTTAGCCCAAAGGCCCATCTCCCTCTATTTCTCTACAACCTAACAGACTTGCGATTTTG